AGGGGACCTGCCATGGCCCGCAGGCCGTAACCCCAAACTCGCCCAGTGGGTGAGGGGGGAGACGTGGTATCAGCCCCCAAAGCTGGCAGAGGCAACTCAAATCTGGAAGATCGGCCATGGCACTTCGACAATACCAAGGGCACTGACAACTAGATATAGTACGCCCTGAGAGGAAGAATAAGTGCTTTCCATACCCAATAATCACTACCTTAGAGGCTTTTAACTTAAGACAGGCTCAAAGACATTATCTGCATTATACAACAGACTCCCCATTTACTGGTAATGAGCTCGTGTCACCAAAACAAGTCCTCTGACATGAGACCCCTCCTCCCGAAAGAGAGGCTCCACGTGCAGGGAACATGTCATCGCCGCTCTGTGGGCCTGAGCTAGGTTCTGAGGAGCGTGTAGGATCGGAAGAGGGGAAGGGTATGGGAAGCAGGTGTGAGGTGCAGGCACCACACGGAGGGCCAGAAGCAGGAATGCAGATGAAAGCTGGGCGGCAATGAGGCGACCTCACTGTGCAGATCAGGACGGGCTCGCCGGGAATCTGGGAGGAGAGAGCAGGACGCAGGCCAAGACAAAACGGAACCTTCCTGGCTGCGCCGCAGTCGACCAAAAGCCACCTACTTCTTTGAGACAGTTTGAGAAGGACAGTCCACATGAGGTTCTCGGAAACTTACCAGCAGGAGAAATTAAGAAAGCCCTCTTAGCCCCGGCCAGGTGGCTCAGTTGGTTGGAGCATCATCCCCATACACCAAAAAGGTTGCGGGTTCGATCCCTGGTCAGGGTGTTTGCAAGAGGCAACCAATCGATGTCTGTTTCTTTCTCTCCCTTCCTTGCTCCCTCCCTTCCTCTTTCTCTCTCCCTCCCCCATTCCTCTCTCACTAAAATCAATAAGCATATCCTCAGGTGAGAATTTTTTTTTTAAAAAAAGCCCCTCTTACTCTATCAGGATCTAACTGTTCTTTGAAATACATGAGGTCCTCACAGGAGAACCAGAAGAACTAAGATATGCTAGGAATTTGCACCAGAACCTCCTGCTAAGAAAACATTTCAATTACAATGTATGAAGGGTATAGGTCAGTATAGCAGTAATGATAATGTTTTAGTTCTTAGGTTGGGTTTTGATTTCATTATGGTTTATAATCAATCTATATTATCAATAGTCATACATATGCATCAACTACTACATTTGAAAAAGAAGTAAAAGAAAGGTTGGAGATGCATGCTATCACATTGTGAGGCCACAGGCCAGGGAGCACGTCTCTTCTCTTTCACCAGATGGAGAACCCACTCCAGGTGTTCACACACGGCAGGTATGGAGGCACACGCAACATGTGACTGATCGAGATGGGTCTAGGCTGGGACTGGGCTGCACAGGGCTAGGGCTCCTGAGCACTGGTGAGAAGGGACAACACTCACCATCCTGAACCCACGGCGCACATTCTGTGGCCACGTCCTTGGCAAGCAGCCACAGCGGTGTGGCTGGGAGAAACTCTAAGAACTCTTGCAAGACTTCTACAAGATGATCCACTGTACGGATCACCTTTAAAGTGGAGATGAGGGCTCAACTGTACCAATTTCTCAGAACTCGAACAGCTGCAGGAGTTTCTTAGCGGCAGAAAACCGACTGGCATGAAGCTGCCTTGTGCACCTTCCCAAATGGCATTCACTCCACTCATTGTCCAGCCCAGGTCAAATCTCTCAAGTTCAAGGTAACAGTGGCCTGGCCTGGCCTTCTGGTTCCCACCCAACATCTTAGGTTGAAGCACATCCAACTCACTCTTCCAGGATTCACTGGAATAGGGTTTTGCTAGGAATGATCTAGAGCAGTGGTTCTCAACCTTCCTAATGCCGCGACCCTTTAATACAGTTCCTCATGTTGTGGTGACCCCCAACCATAAAATTATTTTCGTTGCTACTTCATAACTGTAATTTTGCTACAGTTATGAATCGTAATGTAAATATCTGATATGCAGGATGTATTTTCATTGTTACAAATTGAACATAATTAAAGCATAGTGATTAATCACAAAACAATATGTAATTATATATGTGTTTTCTGATGGTCTTAGGCGACCCCTGTGAAAGGGTCGTTCGACCCCCAAAGGGGTCGCGACCCACAGGTTGAGAACCGCTGAGGTAGAGCCTTGGAGCCGGAGGAGATCTATGAGGAATCACAAAGTTTACTATGGTTCCAAGACCACCCCAGGTTCCATTCTCACTAGGAGAATTCACAGGACTCGGCCGTGAGCCCCAGTTATTACAGCAAAAGGACACAAAGCAAAATCAGCAATGGGCCTGCTGGAGGGACCAGTCACCATCTTCCAAGAGTCCTCTCCCCCTGGGGTCACACAGGATGTGCTGCATCCCTCCAGCCGTGAGCTGTGACAACACATGTGAAATGTCCACCGGGGATGCTCCTTAGAGACTCAATACCCAGGGTTTTTAATGGGGGCTGGTCACTCAGGCACCCGCCCACCCCACCGCCCCCCCCCCCCCCCCCCCCCCCAACTGCCTGGCCTGGCCCCAAATTCCACTCTCAGAAAGAAAGCAGATATTCAGCACAAATCATATTGTTTGCACAGCTTAGGCACAGTGAGCCAACTCTGTTCTGCAAATGATGAAAATCTTTTAGAAATTCAAGTTCCCACAACCAGCCACAGGGTGAAGCAGGACTTCTACGGACAGCAGGCTCAGGTCTCTTTTCTGTACGTCTGCCAATGCACCTAACTGTGTCCCTGAACAGTATCTGATCTAAAAAAAAACTGAGTATAATTTTTTTTGGTGAATCCTCACCCAAGGATATTTTTCCATTGATTTTTAGAGAGATGGAAGGAAGGAAGGAAGGAAGGAAGGAAGGAAGGAAGGAAGGAAGGAAGGAAGGAA